GTGCAAGCATCTCTGACTATGTGAACAATGAGCTCTTTTGTTTAATTGATTTGCATAAGCCTAGAGAAAAGACGTTTAAAGTAGATCAATTCATAAAGAGCCATGGCCATGTCGTAGTTAGTTTACCACCATATAATATGTGCTAATCTCAACCTGATTAAGTTGTCTTGGGTAAAATGAAAAGAATTGTTAGATATCACAATGTCAATTCAGATTTAACTTTAACATAACTTAAAAATATTACAGAGCTAGAACTTACTCAGATCACAGAGGAAGATTGGAGCGGCTTTGACGTTCATGTTTGTAACAAAATTATTGGCAAAGAGATGGCCTAATAGAAGAAACTATCAATCGATTTGTGATAGAGATCAGCAAAGGATATAAAGAAGTGATGATAACGATTCTGACATGTCTTATATTTTAGAATCTGATGATGGTTAAACACTATTTTTTCTAAGAAATAAATAATACTTTGACAATTATTATTGTGTTTTATTGAATTATGAAATTTTATACTTTACCAAAATTGTTTTGTAGTTACGAGGATACACACTAGGTTACAAACATTTTTTTTTCTTTAAAAAATGTTACCCCCACAGTAGAATTTTCTCCTGTATCGTGGAGGCAGTTTACAAACATATATTGCACAAGGACAAATATCAAGACCTGGAACAATTATTTGTAGGCCATACAAATACTTGTTCCTTGTGGGATTTGAACCCACGGCCCCAGGCGTTGGAACTTATTGCTAAACCACTATGCCACGGAGCTATCTTTACCAATAAGGTCACAACACTAGCGCATTCCTAAGCTCAGCACTCAACTTGTGTGCCTACAGCACTTACTTGTATAAATAAATTTCCTTGGAAGACTGAGAGGAGTTAAAACTGTAGAAATTATGAAGGTATAATATTAGAATAAAAAGTTAGAAGAAAATTGTAACAGTCCCATTGTATGCTCTCATTGGAGAGATGTTATGTGATGTAATGTAATTTCAAAGACATAAAAATAAATTTTATTTTACACTTGCAAGTCCTTTGTTTACAACAATATAATAATTTTTAATTAAATAATTTGTAGATAATATAATCCATCAGTACTTTGATTAAAATCCTACTGGTGCTTTTATTACTCAAGCTAGAATATTTACCAATAGTGTTAATGATGTTAAATATTACGAGAAATATACAGACCAGGCCACATTAATGGATAATAAACAATAAGAAATCATGCAATATGGATAATAAACACATTGCTTTATTTCTATATCACTCCACTTCCAATTATCCTGTTATTTATAGATACATATCTAAACACTTGATCAAACTATCACTTCTAATATAGAAAAAAAGTGCCCAGTGCCTACAGCAATATCCATTGTCTTGATGTGTGGTATATACAAATATAAGAGCAGCTTTTATCGACGCAAGTCAAACGGCGCAGCTTGGTTTGATCAATAAATCCTACCCTGGCCAAATACAAACGCGTTGTAGTTGCGCGCAATATGTACTTCTACAATATCGATTTTATACAAAGCAAAAACCTATACAGACCTTCATAAACCTATACATTTAGGATAATAATAATAATAATGAAGTAAATAATAAACATTAAATAGTACATGAATATACTTACAATTACCACCACAGTTTTCGACAACTGCGTGTACCACATCTTCGCTTACCACTTCTCCAAAGGTATCAATAAGAGTCTCAATTACCTGACTGTAATCACTTTCTTGTCGACCCGCGGCTTCCATTTTTATAATTTACACTCTTACCAAGCCATACAAAAGCATGGATACGTTTTATTTCACTGATACCTCTATGTTTCTTATAAAATTAGTGGAGAAAGAAAATTTAATAACATGTTACATATTCACGAATCACAAATTATCATAGATAAACTGATAAATAAATTAGTCTTGGGTAGTTTGCGAACGACCTAGGTGGGAAGAGCGCTCTTTTAGGTGAACTATAGCACAAACTATATAGAAACCATAAACTAATATATAATACTGGAGAATAGAAACTATAAAAGTACTCTGTGATAGAAACACTACGCGTCTTGTACATACATACAACCAAAGAGAATATAATCCAACTTTATAATTTGTGACTACGCGTTACGTTTAGTGTTGCCGTTTGGACAATCTAGTTTGTGGCTAAATAGAATAAAAAAGTGGCCAGCTTTTAAAAAAAAATCGTAATCGAAAAGTAGCTAGAAGTGGCTAATATCACAATATCCTTTGCCTACTTTAATATTCTATATTGATAATTAAATAATATACAGGGTTAGGGATAAGTGGGTTTATTTAAAACCGGATCTAATTAAGTATTTATTAAAACTAACAATAATGTTTGTACGTATCTACAATTAAAATTTAGTAACTAATTGAATTATTTGAAAAAAAAATAAAAAATAATAATCAATTTGTAGGTCTGCGATGTCATCTGGTAATTCTATAACCTCTTCGTCAATGGGTGATGATGATGTAGATGGTGTTACGATTTGTTTTAAAGGGTTGACAGTTTTTTTTTTTAATTTTTTTTTAAACCTCAGGCGGCAAAACATAGTTGTGACAATTTTTCTTCTTTATTTTTAATTGATTTCTAATCATTATTATAGAATTGAGTGTCAATGAACACATTCTATTTCTCAATTTATTTTTTTATAGTGTTCATCACGCTGAACAGCCTTTCTACTTCCGCATTAGAGTGAGGAAGGGACATTGCAGCAATAGCCAAGTCAGCTAGTTCTCGAAATGTATTAACTCCTGCTGCATTCTTGTATTTTAAGACTTGCGCCCAGAATTTAACACTGTCTCCTGCAGTTTCCCATTCTATGAATTGTATAGTTTTCCATTGTTGAACAATTAAATCTGTTTTTTGGTCATCGAATCCCAATTCTCTTGCTAATCCAACCAGTGCATGAGGATCCTTGATCTGTTTTAATGTGTTCTCTGGACTTAAGAGTGTTACTTTTGCTAGGATCTCGTAATTAGAAGGTATTCTGTTCTGAATTTCTTGTACCAACTTGACACTGAAGTCGATGCATCGTTTTTTGATATTAGAAATTGCTTGCGGAGATAAGTTGCTATTACTGGCATGAGATTCGAAAAGATGTCCCAAATGTGCAACTTGATCTAGATGATCTTCTACTTTGATAGTGAGGAAATCTTTGTCTGTTGTCGCGGCGCCTGGTATTATTATTCTAACGCAGACAGATCGTAACAAGGTCATCAGAGTTTCTAACAGTTTGACAGGATCAATATTTTCACCTTCAAATACCTTAATGCCAATTTGAACGTCGTTAATATACGTCGGTACTATATGAGTGGAGTTGGGGAAACCCCGATCATAGATTACAACTGCGGCGCGGAGAGTGAGCGGACCGCGGTAGAGTTGCCTTCTCAGCAAAAGGCGGTAACCACATGTTTCTTTAAAAGAACTTAGTAGCTAACAAAAATTACCAGAAGTAGTTAGAAGTAGCTAGATTCGTTTTGGTGGCTAAAATTGATTTTTTTTGGCTAAAACCTTTGAAAATCCGCTAGATCTAGCCACAAAGTGGCTAAAACGACAACACTGGTTACGTTACACTACGCGTGAACTATACGAACCAAATGCGAGCTATAAATATATAACGAACGTAGAGGGAATATGTACAATAGAGTAGTCCTTGCCGTATACCTAAGCGGGATAGCAATATTTTTTTTTTGGAGTTTATGGCCTGGTGTCTAGACCTTTAGGCCAAGTCTTAAGTATTTTTATTCGGTTTATTGTAATTTCCCCACTCCTTCATAGTATACTGCTTCACAATATGTTGATGCGTCACATTGTGCAGTTCTTGGGAGATTTTGGCGGCAACTTGATCCAGCAGACAGCTGATAGTTGGCGATGGTATCTAAAGGTGCCTATGCAAACAAACAGCTTATCTTGAGAATCCATCACCATCAGAGCACTTGTTTCACTGTTTCCACTAATAGTTCACATGCGTAGACACTTAATACACAAAATCGCAACACTTTTACATATCAAAGTCCACTTCAAACCATTATTTAAACAATAATACAGGAGCAGCAAACCGCCGCCGGTCAATTTCCCGCCAAAACTCCCCGGGATAGCAATAGTTTAAGGTTAGTGTTGCCGATGATTCTATATATATATTTTTTTTTGATTTTTGGGATAAGTAAATCCTGTTTACTAATTATAGGTAGAATCAATACACAGTGTTTCAAAAATATGTAATTCATTAACCTCCTAAGATATATCTTATGAGCTTAATAGTAGTTCATTAACTTCCTAAGATATATATTAAAAGGTTTATGTACTAAATTGAAAAATAAAACGATTTTTTTATTATATTATAAATCGCTTTATTTTGCGTTTTGTCTTTTCCTTGTTATTATAATCAGTTTTTTATATAATGTTTATCTATGTATAACAGATTACACAAAAACACACAAAAAAAGCTATAATATACTTGAAACTAAATAGTTTAAAAAACTTAATTTTGGATATATTATCTACCGATTTTTTTTATCGCTAGATAATAATATATCCACAGGTATGTATTCAATTTCGAATGAAACAACAGAAATAATACAAAATATTTATGTGAATATTATTTAAATAAAACAAATAATTGAAACAGCACTAGGAAAATTTTTGTACATCTTTACAGTTTTCGGTTTGGTAACGCATGCTTGAAAACTAAAGGATTCTAAGTAAATATTTTTTCATCCCGTTCAGAGTCTGTAACCCTAAAAAAGAACGGACAAGAAACTTTAGGGAACTGTTTACAATCAGCTAAACTTACATACGATTGATGTTTATTATTGCAAACATTTATATTTTTTACGAACAAACGAAAAGCGATGAAGTCAGCAACAGCCTTTTCAGAATTATAATCGGGCAGCCATTTTGTCACCGGGAGCCTTTTATACACGAGACGTTTGTACCACGTCTGTTTCTTGAAACGGTGTTTGGATGGAAACGAAATTATTTATTGCTTCTTACCTGAAAATAAAGAGACAATTATTAAATACTCAATGTAAAAAAAAAAACTATTTTTGTATAATACTAGCGATCCGCTCCGGCTTCGCATGGGTGATTTCTGGATCTCGACAACAGCGCCGGCTAGCGGGTCCAATTGTGTTTCTCTTCTAAATCATCCAGGGACTCACTCAAACGCACACAAAAAAATACATCAAAATCGTTCGAGCCGTTTTCGAGTTTTAATGAGACTAAGGGACAGCAATTGATTTATATATATAGAGATTAAAGTGACAAACGAGTTCGCATGGTAAAAAGTTACTGCAACCAAGTACAAACAAAAGGAAATTCTTGTGCATTGTCGTCTCCGAGAAAGAATGAAGATGAAATACGAGTATGTACACATGTAATTATACCTACTGTCTCTTCCTTCAAACTGAAAAATAACACTGGTAGCATGACCGCTTGGCGACAGAAAGGTTTGAGAGAGTAGTACATATTTAAAAAAATGGGGGTCATTTTACAATTTACGATGTACTATATTCATTTTTTTTTTATAGTATAAGGGTGACAAACGAGCACACAGTCTACCTGATGGTAAATGGTTGCTGCGGCCCATAGACATCTACATCTATCCTCTATTACAAATCAAAATGTAGATGCGTTGTCACCCGTGAGGACTATGATGGAATGCCTCATTTCCAGTAAAAAGGGCCTCCAGCCACCTGCACTCACCAAGCGAAACGCAGAGGTAAACCTCTACTTCACGCTGGTTTTCTGTGAGGTCGTGGTATCACCCCGGTTCGAGCCGGCCCATCCGTGCGACAACTAAAGCTGCCGCGTGGCTCTACCACTGTTAAAATGCTGAAATGATTTTTATAGCTGTAGCTTTTAATTATGATATAAGACTACATAAGTTTATAGCATTGCTATTGAATGTTTCTCAAAAAGATATAAAACTCAAAGAGATATATGATGCCTAATGTCAGCCTCATACATAATTTTCAACTAAGAGTACTTGTATCATAATGTAAGTATTATTATTTCACCTCAAGTCCTGATTCGACGAAAAAAAATATTGAGCATGTAGAAAAAATATCCCTATGAAATTCAAAATTACAACAATAGTTAACAACACAAATTCAAAATCAAAATAGGTTACTCACTGGAATAAAAAGTGTTGGAATCGCATTCGGCAACAAATATGTCCTCTTGTGCGTTTTACGAAAATAACGCGACTCAAAATGTTTCGAACATATGCGGTCATTCTTCTCAGGTTGCCATTCCGTTCTCCCAGCAGCTAAAATCCACATATTTATAATGTTTGCTTCTTTAGGAAATCTAAAATAAATAAATTATATTGGTAATTAAATTAAAGTTAAAAAATTTGTTCAGTCGTTAAAAAATAAAGGAATTTTTTTGCCAAGCACTGGTATCCCTGTAGTGATTATACAGCAAATTTGAAACGACAAAAAATAAATGGCGACCTTTAAATAAAAGAACGCTTCTTAATTTAGTCGTATAAAACGAAAAAAGTTGTAGGTTATTTTAGTAATTTTTTGTATATTTTCTGATAATTATACACTAGAGATAATGAAAATTAATCAGCTAATCGATTTCTATATGCAATTTTACTTTAAATAAGCTTACTTACTGATGAAAGATTACGTTTGGTATTTTTCGTTCTGGTCGGTTTTTATAACCTAACACACGACAACGCACCATAATTTCACATAAATTCTGGCTAAAACAAAAACCTTTAAACGTCACGTAACTCAAACGTCAATAATTTAGCAAATAATTACATAAAACCACTAAAATAGTTGACGACAGCCGTTTGTTTGGAACATAGTACCTTTGTTCCAAACAAAGGAAATCGCATACGGTGAAATAAACAAAACAAAAGTTGTTTGACTCGCTGGTTCTTAACGTAACACAAATAAGTGTGTTTCTCTCACGCATTTCCTGACGCCTCTATAGTTCATTCTCTCTCTACGATAACGAAATATAATATATAGTTCGTCGACAATCTCGCTCTTAGTTCTTTAGCTTGCTACATATTTATTTATCTATGGCTCTTTAATTATATGTTTTTCTGACGTCCGCTCATTCTGGAGTGGCGCTGCATGGCTAACCGGCTGATTTATTTTTATTCTTATGCCGGGTTTCCACGCTTGCCAAGTCTCGGCAAGCATCCACAAGCACAAGTGTGTAAAGAGGGTGTTTGGCTTGGCTTGCGTGAGCTTGTGGACGCTTGTCCCCGATCCGGGCTAGTGTCGAATTTTGGACACAGATCAAAGGGCGCTTGCGGCAAGCGCTTGCAACGCATTCACACGTTGATGCGCGTTTAGTAACCATTGTGATTTCGCGACGAGCGCATGTTTAGTTCTTTGTTCTAGAAAGTTGCAAATGCTTGGAGTCGTCTTGCCGAGTTAACGGGAAAGCCAGTAAAAGAATTAAAAGCCAAAAAATTCCTTGTTTTTGTATTTCAAATAAAAGTATGTTAAACCAAACGCAATAGTCGACACAAGTTCGAAGGCCGCCATGCTTGGATATACGTAGCGGTTCCGGTTTATACAAAGGTACTCTGTGATACGTAGCACACTGACGCATTGACAAGCGTGTAAATAACTTCCAAACGCCAAACGAGATTTGTGGACGCTTGAGGCTTGAAGACGTTTGCCGAGGCTTGGCAAGCGTGGAAAGGCACCATTACCGTTCTTGCCAGAGTTTCTTATTAAAGTATATAATTTACATAGATTTATATCTATGATAATTTATAGTCTATAGTTAAAGTTTTATCAGTCGTAGATAGAGGATTGACTAGATAAAGCATTCGTGTATGCTTTTGAGATAGAAATAGGCGGGAGGTAATTTCTCTGGGTTGCCAGATATTATTCCACTCCCACGTTATGGGTTTATTTATATTCACAGCAATTCATACAAAAAACTTATTTCTTACCATAAAAAAATGTTCTTTTATAATTCAGATGATTAATTCATTTCTATTGAAAATACATTCTGTGACTAAAAACTACGGTTGAAAACGGCGTAAAAACAGAATCATCATTCCGTATTCAACGGCATATCGACGATTTTACTGGACATTCAATAAACTCTTTGGATTTCGACGGCATTAAGTGAAGACTTAAATAGCACAAAGTGTGATATCGCCAATTAGTAGCAATATGTTAAGTATGCACTTAATTATTAATTAAGAATAAAAATATTAATTAATAATCAAAAAGAACAATGGCAGAAAAATAGTTGACAAAAATTATCGCGTCTAGAAATAAGCTATGTATAAAACAAGTTTTATTATTTTTCTATGATTTTTTTTCAAATAAAAATGTATTTTAACTAAAACCACAGAAAAAAAAACAAACATTTTTGGGAAAATCAAATGACTTAAATCATTTTACTCTATTCAAGTGTTGCCATTTTGTATATTCATACTATTTTCGTATACACTTTGTAAGACTAGTGTGTTGATAAACAACACACAAAATATTTTTTATTAAGTTATTATTAGTAATAACTATACTATCATTAATAATAAAAACAAAAGTGATATGGTTCAGAATGTCTCTTACAAAGAACTTCCCACAATAATACATTATCTCAATGTTAGTACTATGTAACGATTCCATTTAAAGTTATAGCAACACTAGCTAAAACAAAATGTCACTGGGAGAGTTTTGGCGGAAACTTGACCGGCGGCAGTTTGCTGCTCCTGTATTATAATTTAAATAATAGTTTGAAGTGGATTTTGATATGTAAAAGTGGTGCGATTTTATGTATTAACTGTCTACGCATGTGAGCTATTAGTGGAAACGGTGAAACAAGTGCTCTGATGGTGATGGATTCTCAAGATAAGCTGTTTGTCTGCATAGGTGCCTTTAGATACCATCGCCAACTGTCAGCTGTCTGCTGGCTCAAGTTGCCGTCAAAATCTCCCAAGGGCTGCACAATGTGACGCATCAACATATTGTGAAGCAGTGAACTATGAAGGATAATTATACATTTTGGAAAATTATAATAACCGAATAAAAATATTCAAGACTTGGCCTAAAGGTCTAGATATCAGACCATAAACTTCAAAAAAGTCACTCGTTTTTTTACTGGCTTTACGGCTCTGGGTTCTAGCCCTTCTGAGAATGTCACTATGAAACAAAGGCCTTGAGCCATGCCAGAAATATACATTTATAGTATGCAAATATATAATAGAGATACAATAATCTAAAAACTTTCAATTATGTACTAAGCTAACATCAAACAACCACAGGAAGCATGACTTTTCTAAGTGACATAAGACATAACCCAAAAAGTTTCAAATCTAAATATCTTTTTTTTGACGCCTTCTCAGGACAAAATTCTTTGACAGAGTTATTAAGGGACTGACGCTTAACATTTTAAGATATTTTTGATATATAGACGCTACCATTCCTTCTCAACTAATTTTATGTATGAAAGTCTGTCAGAATTCTTTCCTCGTATCGTGTCTTGTGGTTTTTACAAAAAAAATCAATAATTTTTTTAACATACCATCACAAGTTCAGTGCTGACCACAGACCTCCGAAAGGAAAAGGTTTCCACTTAGGTTTTGTAATACAAAACACTGTTCTGAGCCAACTTCCGATATTTCCTGCATGTCTTACCAAGTTAGACGCTTGTGTGCGGCATGTTGTAGCGTACAAAAGAATTTTTCTATACACCGGATGATATTATCTCGCGTCTTAAGCAATAATACAAGATGCGGATGGCGCAGCAGCACTTTCCTGATGAAACCTTAAAATAATAAAAAACTACGGTGGCCAACTAGTATAACGCATATTTTCACGCAGGCGTGGCGATTGTGGCAAAAATTATCCTATCAGGATGACTAGGCAAGACCTTTTTTAAGTGACTTAGTTATGGTTAGATGACTTAATCATGTTACCTAATGGTTAAGGTGGTAAAATGTTTTAGTTAATATGCGATGTAAAGCATCAACAAATGGTTTGTTTTTGTAATATGTTGGTATATGAAATAAAAACGAATGTTTTATAACATTCTATTTTAATTTACAATGCAGTGTAAGATTATCTGCAACCTCATATTATTCCATAGGTGCAGTATGAGGTGACATAGGGAAACAACAAAGAAGATTAACAGTGGTAAATCTTCGCGGCAGCTTTTGCTGTCGCACGGATGGGCCGGCTCAAACCGGAATGGTAAAAAGACCTCACAGAATACCAGCGTGAAGTAGAGGTTTACCTCTGCGTTGCTCTTGGTGAGTGCAGGTGGCCGGAGGCCCAATCCCCCCCCCCTCAACATAGTAGCGGAATTAAACAAAAGACTACCCCAGGAGGGTACCAGTACCCCTGGAGAATCCCTCGCTGAGCATCTACGACCAAGCTACTCCACTCCTGAGCGTGGGTGCTCAGGCTGCCCTGCGTATTTTGGGGGAGGGGAGCTGGGCAAAATTCCGCTAGCGACTAATACTACTCGGGGCAAGCGGAGCAATAAGACCAAGGCGCCCCTGTCACGTTATCCATGAATTTTTGCAACAACAGGGGACTTCATTCCAACCTTAACATTGTCCATTACAATCTAGAGACGGCGAAGCCGGTTTTGCTCTATTTAACGGAGACTCAGGTGTCCTCTCCGGCTGATACATCATATCTCTCCTACCAGTACTCGAGGACTGGCTCGGGAGAAGGCACGGCTCCTTGTCGTTTAGGATGACGCAGGTGCTGTCGGGGCACGGTTGCTTCGGCAAGTACCTGTACCGCATATACAGGGAGCCGGACGCTCGGTGCCACCACTGCGTCCACTGCGAGGAGGACAAGGCGCAACACACTCTCGCCGACTGTGTAGCTTGGGAAGAGCAGCGCCGTGTCCTCACAAATGAAGTAGGAGGCAATCTGTCACTGCCGGCCTTAGTGCGGAGGATGGTCGGTAGCGCAGAGTCGTGGGACGCGGTGGTGTCCTTCTGCGAGGACGTAATGTCGCAGAAGGAAACTGCGGAACGAGAGAGGGAGATCTCGACTCCCTTCCCCGGCCGCAGAAGGCGCACCGGGCGCAGGAGAAGGGCGGACAACGCCCTTTTCCGGCCCCCATAAATGGGTCCAGGGACGGGGACTTGGGGAAGCCCCCACCCTTCCTATTCGATGGACCCGAGGCGGAAGCGCTGAGCCCTGAGGCGATACATAGTTGAACACCTCACTACCCCATGCAGGAGATGAGGCCCGGACAGACCGGGCCAGCACTAGTGTGGGGCTGCGGAAGAATTTGGATTCCCGCGGCCCCACGCGCACGTGCGAGGAGACACCGGGGTGGTTTTATCCGGTAAGAGTATT